GACACCCCAGAGGCTTAAAGATATATTTACATAATTTTACAAATATATATATATAATTGAAAACTGCAACAAATGACATGAAGGGAGATGACAGGATGCTTTAGAATTCTGTAATAGAAGAATTTGATTCAGTTTGAACATGTCCTGAGAAAATCAAAACAAAACATGCATTTTGGTTCTTTGAGTTTGGAGAGAGTATTTTGTCTATTAACCATAGCCAATACAATATTTAAGAAAAATCTTGTATGATGTTACTTGTGCTCAAATAAGAATTTTTCCAGCCTTTGCTTTTAAAACTTTTTCTATTGCTATTGAAAATATGTCAAAAATAGATAGCAAAGATATTTCTTTATAGCGGTTTAGTATACTAATTTAAAATCAACGAGAAGGTTTTAAGAGGAATGGAAATTTAACAATCCAAAAGAGGTGAATTTTGCCTAAACAGAACAATAGCCCTGGACCAGATTTCAGAGGGTTCTAGGTTTCATCCAATGTGTCCTAGCTGTGCTGCCTTGGCCAAGTTATGTAACCTCTTTGAACCTCAGTCTCCTCATCTCTAAAGTAACTGCCATATCCACCTACAGGATCCTTCGGAGGGGCATATGGGTTCATGTACAGAAAGTGCTTTGCGACCGCCAGTGTGGAGAGTATAGTACAGAAGGAGAGAGTACAAAGCATAAAAAACAATAATGCAAGTCTGAATCACCGCTCAGAGGGGAATTAGTATCAGCTCTCAAAAGACTTCTTCAGCTCTTTGAAAGATGCCGTTGTGTATTTATCCTTAAATTGCCCACTAATCACCTCAAGCAAAAGCTCTTGCCAGTATTATCGGAGCCAATTACTTAGCACATCACACACAGTATCCTGAAAAAAAACAGCAACACACGTTTTCTGCAATATATAACCATATGTGTTCTTGGGATTCACCGTTTACTGAGAGAGAAAGCGGCACTGTTTAGAAATATGTACTGGCTGGGTTCTTTATTCTTTCTTTCTTTCTTTTTTTCCCCCCCTCTCCTTTTTAGAAGCATTCTCTAAATCTAAAAGTGGTTCATTATAGCCTTATCAGTTGAAATTGTCAGTCCTTGCCTGGTAAGTATGAACTCCATGATATTCTTTCAGATTTAATATTTAGTATAAATTCATTTTTGTCAATATTTGTGTATGCTTTAACAGAATATACAACCAGATGTAAAGTCTCTCATAAATATTAATATTTGTTTCTGATTGGAAATAATTTTCATTGATGGATAAAATTTTTTTCATCAATTTAGAAAGAATCGATATATTTATAATATTGAGAGTTCCAACCCATGAACATCATATATATCTCCATTTATATCAGACATCTTTCAATTCCCTCAATAATATTTTTAGTTTTTGATGTAGATGTCGTATATAATTTAATTGAATTTTTCTTCAATATTTCATGTTTTTGATGTTATTTAAGTTTTTTCATTTTCTATCTGTTTTTTATTTTATGGCCACCAAGTCTTTCCAGAATTAGGTGAGGTAAGGTGTTTTTCTTCAGTAAAAAGCCATTTGCTCACCTTTGAAGAAAGTGGGCAAGAGAGTCTCTATCATTCCTTCCAGGATTCTGTTCTAGAACTTGCCAATCAGACTCACATAGTGATTTTTTCTTTCATCTGTCTACTCCTCCATCCATCCTGCTAACAAAAACTTATCAAGTTTTCTCTATGTGCCTGGCCCTGTGATAGGAGCTGAGGATAAAATGTGAACAAATGGGGCAAAATTACCACCTTAAAAATACTGACACCCCAGAGGCTTAAAGATATATTTACATAATTTTACAAATATATATATATAATTGAAAACTGCAACAAATGACATGAAGGGAGATGACAGGATGCTTTAGAATTCTGTAATAGAAGAATTTGATTCAGTTTGAACATGTCCTGAGAAAATCAAAACAAAACATGCATTTTGGTTCTTTGAGTTTGGAGAGAGTATTTTGTCTATTAACCATAGCCAATACAATATTTAAGAAAAATCTTGTATGATGTTACTTGTGCTCAAATAAGAATTTTTCCAGCCTTTGCTTTTAAAACTCTTTCTATTGCTATTGAAAATATGTCAAAAATAGATAGCAAAGATATTTCTTTATAGTGGTTTAGTATACTAATTTAAAATCAACGAGAAGGTTTTAAGAGGAATGGAAATTTAACAATCCAAAAGAGGTGAATTTTGCCTAAACAGAACAATAGCCCTGGACCAGATTTCAGAGGGTTCTAGGTTTCATCCAATGTGTCCTAGCTGTGCTGCCTTGGCCAAGTTATGTAACCTCTTTGAACCTCAGTCTCCTCATCTCTAAAGTAACTGCCATATCCACCTACAGGATCCTTCGGAGGGGCATATGGGTTCATGTACAGAAAGTGCTTTGCGACCGCCAGTGTGGAGAGTATAGTACAGAAGGAGAGAGTACAAAGCATAAAAAACAATAATGCAAGTCTGAATCACCGCTCAGAGGGGAATTAGTATCAGCTCTCAAAAGACTTCTTCAGCTCTTTGAAAGATGCCGTTGTGTATTTATCCTTAAATTGCCCACTAATCACCTCAAGCAAAAGCTCTTGCCAGTATTATCGGAGCCAATTACTTAGCACATCACACACAGTATCCTGAAAAAAAACAGCAACACACGTTTTCTGCAATATATAACCATATGTGTTCTTGGGATTCACCGTTTACTGAGAGAGAAAGCGGCACTGTTTAGAAATATGTACTGGCTGGGTTCTTTATTCTTTCTTTCTTTCTTTTTTTCCCCCCCTCTCCTTTTTAGAAGCATATTCAAGGACAATGGAGGAAAACCAAAATTGAAAAAAAGTTCAACTTGAGAGAAAATGCCATTTTAATTCGAGGAGTCAGGTAGCAATTCTTACTACGATTCACCTCCTCAGCAGGCCGCCATATTTTCACTTTAAAAGCACTTGTATTTTTTATTGATTCCATGAAGGGCTTTGCTCAACACACACGGGCTCCACGGCCACCTGCCTTGCTCAATTAATGGGCCATTTGGAGAAACCGTGACCTGCAGGAGACATATTGAACCAATTTGGACAGAAGGAGTCACTCCATGTTTACCTTCCAGGGTTTCAGTGTGGGTTCTGCAAAGACATGGGTGAAATTTTATAAACAACTACCAATCATTGGCAAAATGTTCCGGAAGATTCCCCTCTGAAATCGTTTCAGCACACTGAATAACCGTTCTCATTGTTGACACGTGACCATCTCAGTAAAGAGGCAATCATTAAATATAAGCTGAGTGTTAGACAATAAAATGTGATTTTAAAACACAATCAAGGAATGGGTTATTTGTGACCAAGTTCGAATATATTTTTAGACAGAATTCCCCATTTACTCAATCTGATCTACATCGTCCTTCAGGTTTGCATTACTTAAGAAAGGAAAGGCATAAAGGATGAAACTCCTCGGCTTTATTAATGCAAATGTATTTTTTATTAAAGAATGAATGCATTTATGCTAAGGAATAGTTTACATGTGTTGGAAAGCATCAAGCGAATCTCCAAGAGGTGGGTTTTCCTCAGTTTGACTCCATGCTTATTCTACATGCCTTAAACTCAGACCCACACGCAGGGGCGCACGTACACACAATCAAACACACACAGGGACACATGGATACACAGGCCACGACACCAACACCATTGTTCTCTGGATGCGATTAGCTCTCATTAAGGCTTCTGTAAGGTGCCCCAGCGCCCCTAAGATTATCAGGATTAAAAACAGACTTCGATAAATGAGCAGCATTACCTGGAAAACTAACGATCTGCTCTCAGCCTTAAATGTGTGTCTTTTAAGAAATACTTTCAGTTTCATTCAACCTTGACCCTTGGCGTTTATGACATTGAAAGTGCCATGAAACTGAGAAATCTCAGGCTCTCTTAGTGAGAAATTCTCATTAGAAAGAGTGAACACCCTAGCAACCCTGACCCTGAGAGGTTACCAATTTTAAGATAACGAGGTCAGATTTCTCTTTAGATTAAGACGGACATAGGTTCTCTAGACAAGCCAAGGAGACAGCACTCACTCCTTATCTGAGTGCAATGTTGAGTGGTGAGGGCAAGGCTTCCTTGGTGATACCAAATCAGATTTGAAGCTTGCCATGAAGGATTCATCAGACAGGACCGCCCACTAAATAAGTTACCACAAATCAGGGCCGAAAAAAAGGACAGTCTACGTAGAGTTTGTTCAGTTACCGATAACATTTGCCCAAGGTTTCTGTTACGGCGGTGGTGGTTTTAAACTCCTAGCTGGTTTGATGGTTAATTTTATCTGTTGGTTATGTTCTTCCCTTTTGGTGTCCTGTAGTGTATGTTGAGAATCCATCTCTGTGGGGATGTTGGCATGGGTTGGAAGGGGAAAGACGTGGATGGGGCAGGAGGAGGAGGTGAGGGGTTATTAGTAGTTGCAAGGATTCTAGGAAAATAGATGCAGTGAATACAGTCAAAGGGTACTACTTGATATATTCATGTAAATAAAAGCATTATCTTTAACTGTGAGTTAACTGCCGACTATCAGGCTGTTAGTTGTAAAGCTCAAGGAAGACTGTGCCGATTTGTTTGCTGAGGAGAGGATCTAAAACGTGACGCGAGAAAGGTATTCTCAGGATCAGATCCATCAGAGGTTTTCCTTCAGCCCTTCACCTTTCACACCAGCATGAGCACTGTCACCCCCTGCCCCCCATGACCAGGGATCCCATGGCTGCATCTAATGCTCTTGTTGGGTTTCATAAGGCAAACTAGAACAGTCCATCCAATAACAGCCTCAGTGTATTTGCCCGAGAGCGGTGAAAATCAGCATGGAACTCTCCTACAGGAAGGCGTTGGGAAACAAGAAAAAAAAAAAGAATCTAGAACTTTCCTCCCCATCCACACTCCCACCCTCCTCACAGTCACAGCAGCAGCAGATTTCAATGTAACGTAATTACTTTAATAATACATTTCTTTAGATTTAGAATTGCTCTTCTGAATTTAAAAAGCTTGGTTGGCCAATAGTTTGGCAGTCTTTCATCCCAAATTTGAATCGTTGCTTATTCATCTATCGTCTGGAATTCCTTGACCAATGCTGCCTTTGCTGAAGCATCCTAAGTTCATTCAGCCGTCATCGGATTCCATTTCCTGGGAAACCTCTTCGGATGAGCTGTCCCTGTGGATCCGGCCATCGCTCTTCATACTGTGGAAAGTCTTCTTGAAGGCCTCCATCATGGCGTGGGCCAGCTTCTTGGCTTCCAGCTTGCTCTCGCACTCGACAGCGTGGCAGTCCATCTGGTAGGACAGGTCATCGTTGATCTCCCTGTAAACCCAGGCGAAGATGTTGGGGCTCACGTTGTGGTCGGCAGTGCAGTAGGCGATGCGGGCCACCTGGAAGGTATCCATGTGGACGGTAGCCTCACCTTTGTGGTCGAGGTGATGGAGCCACACTTGAAATGGTCGGATTTCCAAGAGCGCGTTGGCTGGAAAGATGTCTTCTCGGGCTAATGTGTGCTTCTTCCAGAGCTCAATGACTGGCTTTTCTGTGCAGCCTGACAAAAACTGCATGCCTGTGGTGGGGACTTTACCCAGATAGGTAACCTGCAGAGGGAAGAGAGAAAGAAAAAGGGGGAGGTCAAAAGACAGCTCTTATTCCGTTGCTCATTCAGATGTTCTCAGGTGTCACACTGAGAAGGTGGGGAGACATCTTTCCTGCTCTCTAAATGAATAACTGTTCTCAGAATTTTTACCGTTTCTCCTTAACAAATTGCCCACTCGACAAAGGTATTGATATTCTTTAAATAGAGTTGGATTTTAAAATCTAATTTGTAGAAAACTACTCTCCTCTTCCCACCATATTTTTACATTCATATCAGAGTGACTGACGATGCCCTTTTACATAATTTGGCATCGCTTTGAAATTATAAGGCCACTTGAAGTTTATTTGCAACCAAACACCTGCAGAATTCAATGAGATGCAGAAGTCAAAAGGACGGTGCATCTGAAAAGCAAAATATTTATGAAACTTATCTCCTAGCTTGGTTCTCTTTCCAAGTCTCCCAATGCTTGATTTCCCTTAAGCTACTCGCTTCTAGCAAATGCCAAGAACACACACACACAAATGGTTTGTTTAAATTATGGCCTAAAACATGACTGTTTTCTCTCCAAGACAGTCTTTGAAAATACAGCAATACAGTTGTTTTTCAACCTTGTTTGTTTTTCCACTGATGGGCATCTGGTAATGCTGATAATGTATGAAAGATTACCAGATGGTTGAGACCAGAAGGCTGCCTTATTCAATAGCTAGATAGGCTGTACTAAAACTAAGGAACATAATTCCAAGTGATTCAAATGGTGTCTTTTTGAAACCATGTTTACGATATACCAAGAAAAGATTTTAATTCTTTAATTTTCTTTTCATTCATCCAAGTAGAATTGCTACTATTATGGAAATGCATAACTCTGAATAAATTGTTTAAGAAGCAGCACACAAAAAGTACATAATTAGATTCGAAATTATTGGCACAGGTATACATACCATGAATTTGAGGAGGAAAAGACCAGAAAAAGATCCATGGAAATGGTACCGACTGAGAAAGGCCTCTTGGCCACAGTGATTCCAAATCAATATTTATATTTAATGGGACCGCGAAGGCCACACACAAAAATTTCAGGACACAGACGTTAAGTACTGCTGCTTCTTCTCGTGTTTCATCTCTTAAAGCAGAATTAATCGAATAGTCCCTTTAAAACCACAACTTCTGAATAAAGAGGTAAAAGTGCTGTACATTCCAGAAATATTTATTTGGAACCTATCATACATAATGGTTGTGTGCCAAGTGGACAGAGGAGGCGGGGAGAACGAAGATAAAGAGGTCCAAAGATCAACAGGAAGGAAGGAACTGAATATTTGTCTTTTGGGCAGGCGAAGTGGAGGTTTAAACCCTCGCTCTGCAGGTCACCAGGTGGGTGGTTCTAGATGCAACACCAACCCTCTGCCCCTGCACAGACATAACTATGATATAAGGCAGACCGTGCAACAGGCAGGCAGGGGTGCCACAAAGTACCCCGAGCAATCAGGAGAGGGAGTGATGGTACCCTGCCAGCAGAAGGCCTCGGGGAGGACAGTCACTAAAATTCAAGCCACCGGGGCCTCAGAAGCTGGAGAGAAGCCCAGCAAGCCAAGGGGGTGAGAAAAGGAGGGGACAGAAAGGCAAGGGCCTCCACCTGCTCGGGCAAATAGGCCATTTGAGCCTGACTGAGCCGCACTGTGGGCCGTGGCCTAACAGTCCTGGCGAAGAGACAGAAGGTCCACGACTGTTGGATAAAATAAACCGAACATCGGGGGACGGCCTCGTGTTCAGTCTGGGGAGGAGGGACTTCTCTTTTCTTGATGGAAGGCCACTGACAATCTACGGTCCAAGGAAGGCCTGGATCCGGTCAAGGGCGTGAACTCAGAAGACCTGACTGATGTCACGAAGACGGATGGGGAGGCCAAGAGCAGAATGCTCAGGCAAGAAGCTGTTGCAGCAGCACAGCCCTGAGGTAAGGGCGGCCTGAACTGAGAGGAAAGGTGGGAAAGGACGGAAGGAGGCAGATGGGAACATGCGACAGAGAAAAGTGACACTTGGCAATACATGGAAAGGGAAAAGGGACTGCGGCTGCTTACGGTCCCCCAAAGGAACTGGTTGAATGGCTCCTTGTCACTGTGGATCGGAGTCAGATAATAAAGAGGTGTAAAAATGCACAATACAGGGTTCTTAAATACTATGTACTGAAATTGAACTTTTTGCATATGGTACTTTACGATACTTTCATTCTTTTTAAACAGCATTATTTTTCTTTATTGACGTTAAATTCATATCCCGTAAAACTTCCCATTTTCAAGTATACGATTCAGTGGCATTTAGTAGTGAAAATGGTGTACGACTATCAGGCTTAACTAATTTTAAAATACTTTCATCACCCTTGAAGGTGACATAGCACCCACGAAGTGGTCATTCTCTCCTATCCTCCCCCCCAAGGCCCCGACAGCCACCAATCTGCTTTCTGTCTCTATTGATTTACTATTCTTCATATTTCATGTAACCGGAATCATATAATACATGACCTTTTCTGTCTGGCTTCTTTCACTTAGCATAAAGTTTTCAAAGTTCATCCAAGTTGTACTGTGTCTCAGTATTTCATTCCTTCCTACGACATCTTTACTTTTGGAAGTTTAAAAGCAAATAAGGAAAACTAGCTTCAGTGTCGAAGTTGAAAGTACCTTATTTTTTACTATCCGCTGAAACAAGACATGACTATATTTGATAGAAAGATCTTTCGGAGTGAGGGACTCTCCTTTGATTTGCTCTAAGCTTGTATACGCTCCCCCCACCCCTGACACACACACACATTAAAAAAAAAAAATTATGCAGCGCCTTCTATCATGTTATCACTAAAGGATGAGTTTAAAAAGCATTATTAGAAGCGTAAATGATTCCCTCCAATAGAAAGCAATTTCATAGTAGTAAAGTTCTGACGACAAAGACAAAATGTATTCCTCTCTTATAAATATTTATTACTTAAAAACTAGAGATTTTAAGGAACAAAGTTTTATTTTGGAAGTGTGATTAAGAGATGAATGGAGCAGAGATTAGTGCTCACAACATTTATTAGACAATGATAAAAGCTACTTAATAATATGTAGACATTTATAAAAACAATTTCAAAACAGAAGCACAACAGGACACATAGATGTAATTTGGGGGGATTAAATTTATTATGAAAATCATTTTTGTTCACTGGTCTAGTTTCACTGGGGTCACCTGAACAACACACTACCTCTCAAGCATAAGGTCCCAAGTCACCATTTACATACATTCGCAGCCAAGTCAAGCCACACAGACCTGAAGAGCAGTGACTAATATGTGCATCACACTTTAGGTTAAAAGCGCTTTGTATCCATTAGCTCCGTCAACAATCCCGTGAGTCAAGATGGAATGTTATTATCACTAACCCGTGTTTAAAGACGAGAACCATAGGTCAGGTGGTAACGCTGGGGTACATAGTATATGCTGCAAAGTGTTGGGATTTCAGGAACATTTTGATTATTTGTGAAGAAAACTGCATAGAAAAGACAGTCTAAAATGACACCTGTTGAATTCCTGGACTATTTTGCTATCAGACGAGAGCTATTTACATTTGCTTTCACTTTTGAGTGGTTTATTCGTTTTTCCCCATCTTTAGCTTGTACGAGAAATTCTGGATTTATATGAGCATCCAAATATAGTGGATCCTTCCAAGGAACGAACAGCATTCTTTTGCCTAGTACTTTTGTAAATGACACTCCTTTCTGTGACAATACAGGCCTAGGCATTTCTTTAAAAATTTATTCTTACTTTACCACTGCACAAAGTAAAGTTCAGAACCTAAAATTATCAGGTAAAATGGAGCAAAAATAGTAAAATATTTATATAATATTATTATATATTAAATATTTAATATATAATATGTAATATATATTAGCTATATAATATACATGATCTTTTTTTTATAACAAAAAATGGTTTAATATTTTTTAAATGAAATCAAAATAAAACGTAATCTCAAGAGCTCTGGGCTTTGGGCTTTTTTCCATAAGTTTTCTATGAAAAAAGAGGCGTAAACATGTTCTACAGTAACTAACCCTGACTATTCCGTTAGCTTCCTCTTGCAACATGTTAGGAAGCCTGCAGATGCAGAAGCGCTGACAGCGGATTATGCGGTGAGCTCTCCACTCTGCGACACTGACCAGGGCCCACGACGACACGGGACTTTCCAGGGCCACAGGGTAGTCTGCTCTCACCTGGAATCTGCAGCGGAGGCCACAGAGGCTGCGGGGGACAGCACGGAATTAGCAAGCACGCTCCTGAAATGCCAGAAAATGGCCGATTCTCCAGGAACAGCAGCCAGTCCTGCAGCTTGATAGCACTGTGCTCTCCTCACCCCAGGCCTCGGCAAGACTCCTAGCTGAGCCTTCTCCTCGATGAAGAGGCGCTAATCCAGCCTAAACCTGCTGAGCCGTCTCGGTAGGGAGCTGCTCTCTCGTCCCTGGTCGACACCAAAGACAAGTCAGAGGGTCTAACTGGGTGAACCTTGGCAATCGATGAAACTCTTCCTTCGTTACTTTGGTGGAATTGATAATATTGTCTGAAATCCCATGAGATTACATAAATATAAATAAATATTGTTAACAAGTTGGCGCTTCTTAAAGAAATATAGGGAAAACATTATCTGAATAGTTTTTCTAGAAATGGAATAAAAAGAATAATCTAGAGTTTCCTTAAATATGGAACATGAAATATGGAAAAAAAAAACAGCTATTGGGGCTCAAAAATAAGTGAAAAAAATACATAGTTTAGTAGAAATGTAGCTTACAGCTCTGCTTTTCATGGGAAAGAGAGTAGAAACTCTTTCTAAGTTATTTGTCAAAGAACAACAAAGATTCGGTTATGCTGTGCAGGTAGCCATGCTCTGTGGATATGAGACCACAGCGTCCGTGTGTCTCAATAAACAGAAACCCTGAAACACGGGCGTTATTCCTGTATCTTGCTGTGTCAACACTGTTGCGGCAGTTTAAATATACAGAGAGAGATCACTTCCTGCCAGTCTCCTTCGCAGACACGTCCTTCCCCACCCCTCTGTGGCCACTGCTGCCCCCTGAGTAAGAACCTAGGACTCAACGTGCAAGGCTGCTTCGGGAGGTTCCACCGCCAGCACAGTCATGCATCACTGCCAGGTCTGGTTAATGAGAATCTTATTCTCCTGTCCATCTGTGAAAGAAGTGAATGTCTTCTAGGTGAATAAGTCCCTTCTGGGCCTTATCCTGAAGAGCTGCCATATTCCGCAGCCACAAAGTAGACAAGAAACACCGAGTCAAGAAATTGGTCACTAAATGTCCAAAATGGTAGACAGATTTTATTTTAAGCTGTCACCTCCCAGGGTGTTGGAACAAAGGGACTTGGAAGAAGACAAGAAGAGTCTTCAAAATGAGTAACAACCAGTTGAAAATACGCAGTAAATACCAGCATCTTTTCTATGGTCGCAGAAACAGGCATTGGGCAAGAAACTTACTAAGAATGAATCATTCTGAGAGAAATAAACAGCGAAGAATGAAAGTTTTTCCCCATGTGTCATTCAATGGCATAAACCGATGCCTCAGACACAGACGTTTGCAATATGTGTGAATGGGCTACGGCTAGAAGAAATTATTTGAGAATATTCACAGCGTGTGAAAATACATAGAGGCCATGGAACCGATGGCCCCGCCAGAGTGTCTGCAGTGTTAACGGCGTCAGGTCAGGGGAGACCAATGTCCTCAGATCTCTCCTTCCCACCCATGAGTTTTCCGATAGCCCAGCCAGCTCTCCATTCGTGAGTCACCGTTCCCTTCTCGTGTATGGCAAAACAAATCTGGTTGCCTGACATGCGTCCTCTGGCTAAGCTGGCACCATTGCATTCCTTCCTCTTGGTGGCATTCTGACCTGAAAAACCCTTGTCTAGGACCCTGACTCACCTTAAAGGACAGTGGGATGAAATGGGCAATGACAGGGGCCCCTAAACTAGGACATGGGATGGGATGGATGATCACGGATGACGCCAACCACTTGATTTTCTGGGGATCTTCGAAATTCACAGCCTCCTGAGTTTCACAACCTCACCAGCCTGGCTTTGGTCAGTTTACCGTGGGGTTTCTCCTGGACGATATGTCAAGAATGAAGACTCTACAGAGGCGTTTCCTGGGGTATAAAAGGTCTGGCTATTCTTCCATTGTGTCTAGGAGACTTCCTCTCCCCAGCTGACATAAAATAACGTGATAGGAACACAAAACAGAGACAGCGGAACTGGGAATCCTAATAGCCTTCAGGTTACAAGGCGAAGATGAGAACAAGAATGGCCATCAACCCAGGGCCAAGTACCAGAGTCAAGGTCTTCTGCTCCGACATCAATTCCCACCTGCATATTCCAGAGAAAGGGGAAGGAACAAAGCCCTGGGATTTAGGATCCGAGCTTGAATGTACCCCTTCCTTGCTGGCCAAGGAGGAGCAGGAATTCACTAGCCACTTTGAAGAGTGGGGATGGATCCACAAGCCAAGTACCTAACCCACAACACAAACACAATGCTATTCATGACCTTGAACGTGCATTACATGCTTAAGCCATGAAGAAGGTATTAAAGGACAAATGCTTGTCACAGTGAAATCTATGAAGTTGGTGTGAGAAATGTAAAAGTGATAAGTTTGGGGCTTGAAAATGAAATGTCTTTAGCTATACATTCATTTGATAAGGGTTTGTCGAGCACCTACTAGGAACCAGGTATATTAGTGAATAAAATTGATACAACTCTCTGCCCTCTTGGGGGCTTACTTTCCCAGTACACAGCTGGTGCTCACCACTAAGTTTACAGAACTCAACACTGCACAGTCAAGGCTGGCCTAAGGAGCGTGTGGCACACACTTGCCTCCAGGAGCACTTTCGATGAATCAGAAAACTTCTCTTGGGTTCAAAAGATCTTTCCTTTCAAATGGCACAAATAGGACCAAAAAAAATAAAATAAAATAAATCCTCATTTGGGGTTCATTCCTTGGATCACACTGTGTCCTATGATTGCTTGTTAGCCTTTACGCGCTCTGCGGTTTGGCTTCCTGAGACGCTGCTGAAGTAGAAGAGCGAGCAGGTGAGAAGTTTTGGAAGAGCCCCAGGGAAGAGGGAAAAGACACGTGGGAGCTGGAACGACATTGGGGCAGGAGATGAAGTCGGACTTTGCCTCCCAAACAGGATGGGCTGGCCGCTAGAAAGCCATCAGTGGCTCCACATTTGCCCTGAAGGCTGGACAGACAGGGTGCCTGGCCGTACTCAGCATCTTCGCTTTCACACTCAGGATGTTCCGGGCACATCACACTGATTTGCCTTCGTTATAACCTCGCAGCAAAACTGAGAGCTGTTTTAGAGCGCCAGGCAGCATCTATTCTACTTGTCTTTAGTCTCTTCTTTGTTTAGTGTGGAGAACTGACTAGCAGATTTGCCCAGCGTTTAAACTCAAAGTCATGATAATTATATTGCAGTTAATTCCTGATGAGTCAAGGGTATATCGTTATCATAATGAGCGTTTTAGAGCTAAATGGTGCCATTCGTGCCAAACTAACACCATGCCATTGAGGCAGAAATGATGACTCTGAAATCTGAGGAGATGAGGACACTTGCCCCGGATCATCTTGCTCAAAAAGCAAGACATGGAACAAAAGTCCTCCGCCTCAAGGCCAAGGCTCTTTCCACTATTTCCCTGACAGGTATCATCCAGACCCCTTACTTTTTATAAAATCTACCTTCTCTCTGGCCCTTTCTTCAAATGTCCACCCTGAGACCAAAGTCTGATCAGGGATGTAGAAAGGTGACAGGTACTCTATCAGGGCTTGTTAAACATTTTGAAAAGGGTTTGGAGTCCGAGTTAAAGTGTCTTTAACCTGGTACGTGTTTGTGTAGCCCAGAGGTTTAAATTACAATGTTAGCATCAGTAATGGAAGGAGATAAGACTGCATACTTAATATTCAGATATCTTATTCTCAAAGAGCTTTGAAAGGCTGTTTTACCAAGAAAACAATCTCAACTTCAAAGAATAATTCCACAGAGCAAATATCAAACATGTGCTAAGTTGGCCTCAAACCTGCTCTTGTGGGTCACGCGCCGACATGCCAGACAACGCGTGATGCAAAAGTCCGCTGGGTGTCAAACGCCATGGTGGGCAGGGCTTTGCACGTTCTTCACGAAGGCAGTCATGAGCCTGGGAGGCCAGCCTAAGAGGCCTGGCGCAGCTCACAGCAGACCTGGGCATCCTCTCTGGGTGCAGCAGCTCCAGGGTCCTGCTCCTTAGACCCTTGTGCTTCCGTGGGTCATATCCAAGAAACCCAGATGATTCTGAATCAAAACTAGGTTTCCTTTCTCTCCAGAGTGGGTCATGGGTACCATTCTGGAGTCTAATTTTTTGGTAGATCTATCTCACCCTCATCAGCATAAGAGTGGACCCAGTTTGGTTGGCTGACCAAGAGTGGGTGAGCTTGGCTGTCTGGGGTAAGCCTGCCTCAACTGTTAACAGCAGACTTATGTTAACAGCATCCCCGAAGGAGATGGTGAGACCCAGAAAGGCTTATGGATTTATTCTTAATTTTTTTTTTTAATAGTAGCAACAATGTTGGCAGTAGAATGCAACTTTTCTAAAGTGCACATTTTCTGGGGCACATTTACATATATGCCTTTGTTTAATGATGTATTTTCTTTAATTCCAGGAACTTTCCTAAGGTCGCAGATATTGAGAATATTTTTTATTGTTTAGCAGTTCTTTCCAAGTATTTGCATGGGTAATGTTGATAAAATCTATAAAATATTAATAGATATATAACTAGAGAATATATTTTCTTTTCATTATGTAAATAAAATGGAGGAAAAGCAAATTTACTAAGACCCAATACTGAGGAATAATTAAGTACTATTTTTACACTCTAACAGAGAGATGAACATTGCTTCAGCTGTTAAATACAGCATATGTCTCACGATTAGGTATTTAAGTGACAGATTTATTTCTGTTATTCATATTATGACTTAGTTCCAAAGATTCAGTGATTTGAAATGTTGTGTCTCATCTTGTGGTTATCAAAGGAGTTCCAATGTGCAGTTTGTCCATGAGCTTCTTAGATGTGTGAAGCTTGAAAATACTGTCATTGTTACTGTCAGAGACAGGAGTGATTTATCTGAAAGGTGCTGAAGTATGCCCCTGAAAACAAAGTCACTTAATAAAAATGACACCACAATAAAACATACAATCCCTCATTTGGCCCCT